GTATGGGGCGGCTGTGGGTGTGTAGGGGCCGCCGTGGGTGTGTAGGATGCAGCTGTGGGTGTGTACAGGGCGGCCGTGTGCGTGTAGGATGCAGTTGTGGGTGTGTACAGGGCGGCCGTGTGCATGCACAGGGCGGCTTTGGGAGTTGGCTGCAGGCAGTGGGTGCAGCTGGCAGGGCGTATGCAGGTGGCTATGGGCCGTGGTGCAGGGTCCAGGGTCCAGGTTCCAGGGTCTGGGGAGCTCTGGCTTAGCAGAGTGATGTGCCTTCAGAGGGCACCAGTGTGTCACAAGACTGTGGGCCCCATGGCCCCTGCTGACTGGTGGCTGCTCTGAGTGGAAGAGTGTGTTTGCTGAAATACAAGGAGGGCCTCCAGGGCCAGGGCTGCCACTGGGGCTGTGGGAGCCACTAGCCTCACCCCGGAAAGCCACAGCACAGCAGGGGTTGGTCCTCGGGGCGGCCCAGCATGCAGCACCAGCCTGGGTCATATTGTGACCCAAATCTGACGCGTGTGTGGCCCCTGCCCAGAGGGACGACGGGCACGACCAAGTCCTGCATCTGGCACTACGCAGGCCCCTGGGTGCAGCGGGGGTTGGGGACGGCCAGGGTGCACCTGCTGTTCAGGAGTAAAGGAGGGCACATGTGGGCTCCCAGGCAGCCACCAAGGGCAGTCCCAGACTCTAAACACCACCTCCTTCGCACCACCTGGCCCTGTCTCCAGGTCAGGTAGGAGCCTAGGGAGACCTCAGCAGGTGGCTGTCCAGGGACAGGGAGCTTTGGCCAGCCCTCATTGTCACGGCATTCCCAGAGGAACTGGACACTCTCCCTGCTTACCCCAGCACTGCACTTCCACAGCAGGAACGTGGGGAGTGTGGCCACCAGGAGGCGACCTTGGCATCTCACACACCCCTGCCTGTGGTGACGCAGTAGATATGGACCTACTGCCAGGTACTCTAGCATCTCCTGTGAGGGAGAGAGAGGGGCACCCCAGCAGGGGCGTCACGCCATGGCCCACCCACCTCAGCCAGCTGGGAGGTCAGCCTTTCCCATGAGGTAGCTGTGGTACCGCCCCGCACCCCGGGCTGACCCCATGCTAGGTAGGTCACGAGGACATGACCAGCTCCCACTGCTGGAGCGGTGTCCCCACTCTGGTAACCAGGCTAGTTGCTGATGTCCTTGAGTCTGAGGTGGTTGGGAGTCGCCAGGGCCAGCCAGAAACCCTGCAGGCTGCTCAGCCCCACCCACCTCTCCTCGGGAGGCCTCTGGGCCTCAGTAGGGACCCCAGCCCCACCTCAGCCTGCCCTCAACAGATAAAAGGTGTTGGTTTCATGAGCTCCTGCGAGGCTTCTCATCCTGGATGTCTTCTGGTCCCCACGTTAGGTGGGATTTCCTGGCTCAGATCTGAGCATTTTGAGACAGGAGGGCCGCCCCAGGGATAATGTCTGTCAGCCCTCCCGGCCAGCCCAGCACTCACCCCAGTGAACACAAATGCAGCTCGAGA